CCCGTAGGGGTGCTCTGCCCAATTCAAGGAGAATTCTTCGCCAAACCGAGGCGCTGAAAAAGTACCCCTAGAGTTTATTTGAAAAAGAGGAGATTGTGTGGCCCAAGAAATTGTGTGATTGTAGAAGAATGGCCCAGAATGAACTCTCCACGTTCAAGGGCTCCCATTCCAGGACCAAGCACAGCAAAATGCTACTGACAAATTGTTCCAAGAGACTGAAAGATGACATCCCTCCAGATTGGAGGGATGTCATTTGAAAAATGGCCGCTGATGACGGACTTGGGAGATTTCATTTTTTTGGAAGGGGGTTGAGTTTGTTTTTGGTGGATAATTAGAAATTACATTGCTTAAGTAACCTACTTAAAATTGAAAATCAGTAGAAAACTACACTCTGCTCTTTTTGTTTTTGTTTTCAAGTTGCCGCAGGGGGAGGGTTAAGAGGCCCGAAGGACTTTGGTTGCCTGCACCGGGGCTGCAAACGTGGTCGATTTTACCTTGTCTTCGAATGGGCTTCCTTTAGTTCAGTGCACGCATAGAAAGCAGTAAAAAATCAGAGCGAAATAGCGCCGCCTGTTGACTCTCGGAGGAGGTTTGTCTCCGGTTTTGTCACCGGAAATTCAAGATTGTGGCCAATAGATCACTTTTCGTTTCAATTTTATGGGTTTTACCCACGATTTGTTTTTATTTGCCTTTTCCCAAAGATATATTGCAAATAGTCAAACTGTTCGTCCAGCTCTCATTGTTTTTCCAAATAGGCCCGCAATTTTTGGCTTTTTATGAAAGAAATAACCCGAACTGGAAACTACCAGTCCAAATTTCGGGATTTATAAAAATGTTTCTGTGATCCCTCCTGATTATGGCATGTTTTATTGTAAAAATCCCGTGGGATCACAAAACATCAATGAATTTGCAAACAGAAATACAATCATTTCGCAGAATGCAACCTTAATGGTATGGTGTAGACCATTTTTTCTAGGGGTTTGGAGTAAATCGGGAACACCAACAGTTCTGATAAATAGGACTAAAATGTTCAGCTGTGTGGTGGATCTGATACATGGTTTAGTTATTCCGATACTTTGCCCTGTTAAGCAAGTCTCTTTACTTGAAAAGTGAGCACTGTTCCTGTCATTTTTATAACATATTTTTAATATGTTGACTTGAGTTGTCGCATTTTTGGTTGTGTCAAATGTTGATGTGGATATATAGCGAAAACTGTCCCTTTCTCTAACCCCATCACCAACACTCACACTATCCTAACGCTAACGCCAAGAATATCCCTCACCCCATTGTCCCTAACCCTAACCACAAACCTATATATCACTTACCCTAAGCACAACCCCAATCCTAACTTTTACCCAGTCACTTACCCTACCCCTAACCCTATCTGTAACCCTAACAATATCCCGAACCCCAACCCTATTTTCCTAACCCTAGCCCGTACCCTAACCACAAACCTATATATCACTAAACTTAACCCTAACCACACCCCTGATCCTAACCCACACCCTACCCCTAACCCTAACCACAAACCTTTATATCACTAAATCTAACCCTAACCACGACCCAATCCTAACCCTCACCTTAGCCCTATCTGTAACCCTAACCCTATTCCTAATCCCAACCCTATTATCCTAACCCTACCCCTAACCCTAACCACAAACCTATATATCACTAAATCTAACCCTAACCACGACCCAATCCTAACCCTCACCTTAGCCCTATCTGTAACCCTAACCCTATTCCTAATCCCAACCCTATTATCCTAACCCTCACCCTAACCCTAACCACAAACCTATATATCACTAAGCCTAACCCTAACCACAACCCCAATCCTAACCCCCACCCTACCCCTAACCCTACCTCTACCCCTAACCCTATTTGTACCCTAACCCTATTCCTAACCCCAACCCTATTATCCTAACCCTAGCCCTAACCCTAACCACATCCCCAATCCTAACCCTTACCCTACCCCTAACACCAAACCCTAGCCCTAACCACAAACCTCTATATCACTAACCCTAACTACAACCCCAATCCTAACCCTTACCCTACCCCTAACCCTTACTATAACTCTACCCTAGCCCCAACGACAAATGTATATATCACTAAATCTAACCCTAACCACGACCCAATCCTAACCCTCACCCTATCGCTACCCCTAACCCTAGCTCTAACCACAAACCTATATATCGCTAAACCTAACCCTGACCACTCCCCTGACCCTAACCCACACCCTTCCCCTAACCCTAACCACAAACCTATATATCACTAAGCCTAACTCTAACC